ATATGGGCATTTTTCTATTCATATCTTCTTCACTGGCCCTCATTGCGATATCCATTTGGGCTTGAAACTCTGCCACCTGTTCCTTTTGAGAAGGAGAGCAATAATACTCATTCCTTATCTCCTCAACTACCTTCTATACCTACACCTTCTTTTCCCTTGCAATCTTGATAGATGGCTTCATCTCCTCCCTACTTCTGAATGCACCCTTTGACAAGGCTTCACATCACCTTGAATGTAAGGATGTAATGTTTTAGGCAATTACTAGTGCCTATCAAAGGCTTCCTGCGATGTGCACGCCACCCTTTACCCGTCTCTGGTAGCTTCAGTCTATGCTGTCATGCTGGATCCTCCCTTCTCATCTCCTAAACCTATAAAAAACAACATGCTAATGGCATAAACGCCGAACCATGATATTTTAATATCCATAAAAAAACTGGAAAAATGTTAAAATACATAGTCAATAAGATATTTAAAACAATCAAAGCACGCCATATGCATAAATTAACCATAAAAAAGCAATCATTGGAATTGAAGTAGAAAAAAGAAACCATTAGCAACATTAAGTTAGAAATCTAGAAGCACTTCTTTATATGCATCAAAGCTTTAAAAAAAATGTATTACTGAATTTGTTTGAGGGAAATAACCATTTTTAAAACAGTTGGAGCACACTGGAGGCTTAAAAAAACCATTAAAAATATCTAATCGATATATTTATATTAAAAAGAGACACCCAACATTACAAATATATAAAATTTGATATCCATATACAACTAAGAAGTTTCTCTATGTACTAGAAAATTGGAAAATAAATTCAATCTTACACATTTTTGAAAATATGTAACAAAATGTGACAATTACTGAAGTAATGCTAGGTGAAGTAATATCATTTAAAAAATAAAGCAATTTTATGGATCTAAAGTGAAAAAAAAAAGAAACCCAAAATTTTGAGTACAACTCTTGGTTCCCTGAACTTCACGAATCGTTGCCTTCAATCCTTGTCAAAGCTTCCTCAGACAACCTCAATTGAAACCCTCAAACCAGTTTTGACTTTTTAGTTTTGAGTACGAATCTAGTAGATCATTACATAAGTGCACTTAGTACTCAGTCTTGTGTACTGTGCACTGTGCAGTGTGCACAACACAAATCACTCATTGTGTACTATGCATGTGCAAATTGTAGCAATGTTGCCCGCACGTATGAGCGCCCGTGCACCGTGCGATTTGCACTACATTCCCCAAAACACATGCACACGAAGCACTACATAAGTGCATTTAGTACCCAGTCTTGTGTACTGTTCAACGTGAGCGACACAAATCACTCAATGTGCACTGGTCATGTGCAAAGTGTAGGCTCTTTGCCATACTTATGATGAGCGTTGTCCACCCGTGCACTGAGAGGCTGAGTTCTTAAAATATTTGGATGAATAGTCGATCAAAAAATTGAAATCCAAAACATCCAATTTATATTTTTAAGGGAAATAAGCCTATATTGGATTAAGAACCCAAAAGTAGGCTTAGGAATCTATCTTTGTTGAAGATTGTTCACCTGTTCTAATGAAATCAAAAGTTTCCAAAAATGGGCAAAACCTAGGTCGCGATCTTCGATCTTTCATATCAGCCAAATTTGATTTTTTTTCTCATATCTGATTTATCCATTGGATAGATCGTACAAAATGAGTCTATGGATGGAATTTGAGCTGAAATCATGCTCCTTGGGGGCTCTAGGGTGAAAATTGGTGAAATAAAGGGGGTTGGATTTCTTAGCCGCCTTTTGAATTGGGCGAGTTTCAGTTGGACTCGTCGAGGTTGAAAACACTCTGTTATACATATACTATACTTGCATATATATACATATATAATATACATTATATACATACATATATATACATATTTGTATATATATTATGTTGGATACTGTTGTACTTGTAAAAGTGTTATGGGAATTCAGAAAATGCTTAAGTGTATCCTCTGCCCATGTTCATTTTTGCATCCATATTCATATTTGGGTAATTTTGTCTCTATTGCATCCCTTTGCATGTGCGTATGAGCCTACCATTGTGTTGTTCATTTGGCACTTGGGCACAATGATGCCTAAAGATAGACATGCCTTATAAGCTTTTTTATATTTCACTTATACTTTATGTACTAATTGGCCACCCTATTTCTTTTACGTATTCAAATATGTTCTGAATTTCTCATCAGAGCTATTTGTATGTAAGCGATAGTGGTTAACACTCTGGACAGTTTCCATCTTCCTTATGAGTACCATTCCCATTCCTGGCTGGTTTTAGCCCAACCATTGATATTGTTTTGGAAACCCCTCTTTGAGGGGCTTGCTGTGTTGCATGTTATTGTGGCCATGACCAAAGCCATGAAATTTTATCATCCATACGTCTTCAGGATTGCCTTGATTGCATCAATTACTCTTTTCAATGGGACTGATCCTATAACATTCTTTATTGTGATCTCATTCTAAAGTTCGTAGTTTCAAATGCTTTATATTATTATGTTATTATGCTTTTCCTGTTTTCCATGTCCTTAAAATTTTATTGTAGAAAAATGAGCAACTGAATAATTAGAAAAGAACCAGGCACAACATATACAGCACTTGACAAGCTTGACATAGCTCCCCATAATGACCAACTAAACTTTCATTGGACTGGGATTTGATAATTTGGCTTCTTTCCCAAGTATGCACATGTTGGTAATAGAAAACTTACTATTCCAACTTTTTGGCTATAAAGGACTAATGCTCTACCTTGAGGCGTATTCTTCTCACATTCAGTAAGAGTTTAATAATTCCTTTTTGTCCTCTTGAGAATCCACTCTCTTCATTGCTCACTGTATGATACAACTTAGCAAAGAAACACCCAAAAATTTGGTGTTTTCAGACTATACTATCACATTCTTCCCAGCCCCTCACTTTGTCCTTTGGTGTTTTCAGACTATACTATCACGTACTTCCCAGTCCCTCACTTTGACCTTTCAAAAACTGCTCATAAGAAACACTATGCCATCGGTTTCTCTTCATCAAATATTCTTTCCTCCTTCCTAGTTCTTATCTTAGATCTTAATATCCTTAGCTACTTAGAGAGAGCAGTGATATATGAGGTGCTGAGAGGTAGAGTGGGATAGAGAATGTAGAAAATGGTGAAGAGAAGAATTGAAAGAGGGCTGTGGAAAAAGAAGAATGCGTGAGACAAAGTGTGAGAGTGAATACAGAGTGGTGGATTTTTTTTTTTGGGTGGGGGGGATTGGGGTCGGGGAGCGGTGAAAAAAAGCAGGGACAAATATGAAAAGTAGAAGAGGGGAATGTTTGTAAGATAAAAGATAAAAGATAAAAAGGAGGTAGACGGCGTGTGGGAGAGAGGGCGAATGGCGGCTGAGTGTCAAATCGTGTAGTGAGAAGATAGAGGGGAAGAGAATAGAGAGAAGGGGAAGAGAATAGAGAGAAGGGAAAGAGACATAACACCAGCGGCATCATAGCTCTTTAGGACAGATACTGAGGAACTGTGAAGGAGAGATTAGAGGGACAGGAAAACAGGAGGTATAGGACAGCTGGGGAACTGGATGGGACAATCGTCAGGCAAGGTGCACTTGACATACGGCGGACAAGAGAGACATAGAGACACAAGGAAGCGGAGGAGTGAGAGAAATAATGTAGGAGGAGAAGAGGGGAAATAAAGGGGGGTCGAGCACCAATACATTAAATGTGCCTTCCTTTGGTAATCAGTCATCCGTGCACACTTCTAACGTGGTCGAGAATGGGGAATATGTCAGACCTGTTGATGGTTCACTAGTCACCTCCTGCTGGGCCAAGAAAATGGCATCCCTTGTGTCTGTCTCATGATCTGTAGGCAAAGAGAAACTAATCTATACTGATATCCAATTCATTCACCTCCTTTTCCATTTGTCCTTTGCTTCTCTCTCTCAGTCGTTTTTTTTCGTTTTTTTTTCATTCTTCCTCCTTTTTTTTTTTCTGTGCAGTGTCAGTCTTCTAGCACTATGCAGAAAATTGAGAGAGGAGTATACTGGGGTTGGGAAGTAGAAAATGCCATAATGGGCTGCCCACTGGAGTGACTACTTATCAAGAGAGAAGAAGGGGTTAGATAGAGTTTTGAATTTAGAGAAAGAGAGAAGTCAAGAAGAAGATAGGTTTGAAGGATGTGATTGGTGGAGGAAGAGTATGGATCATAAGGTGAGAGGGTAGGAGATAGAGTGAGAAGGCGAAGAGGAGGAGAAAGCGAAAATGAAAGAAGAAAAAAGCGCTCGGGGAGAGGGAGAAGGGGGGGGGAGGGGGGTTGGTGTGTGTTACGAAGATCTGAGATATAAGTGAGTGGCAGAGAAAGAGGAAAAGGAGCACTGGAATGAAGAGAGGGCCGACTTGTTTGGGACTTTGGCTGATGAGGTGTATCCTTTTTACCTGATCCCTGCCACCTCCCAAATGATCCCCTGGAATCTTAACAGATGCTTCTTGAATAACTCCATATGATTCTTTATAAAGATCACGTTTTTTTTTTGGGGGAAAAGGTTGAGCAAAAGATGGTCTTGTTGACAAATAAAGGAATAGAGATGGCCTTGTTGATGGCAGTGATATTCTCTCCGAAGGATCCAACCCACTTTGTCATGAGTGATATACTCTTCGAAGACACTTTCTGGAGGAGAGGGCTTGTATGATGAAATTCTGTTTGGTTTGGCCTCTAAGGAGCTTGCAAACCTCATATACTATATTGATTTATAGAGTGGGATTTTGTATTCAAAGATTAGCATATGGGCTCGCCAAATGGGTTCTGAGAAGACAAAATTGTTGCAGGTGCAGTTTGCTGTCTCATTCTCGTTTTTTTACTTGCCATACTACTGTCTCAGTCGTACCTTTAACTTTCCCAGTTAGTCATGAGTATTCCAACTTGACATGGTGAGAAGTACATCAAAACTTTTTGTTTTTTTTGTGTTTGTTATGATATAAACTATAGAACTGTAGCTCTTTGATTTTATGTGTAGGTCCCTTGGAAGAGTCTAGGCAAAGAGCCAGTGATTGTTCTTGTCGATCGAATATTTGCTCTTGCTCATCCTGCAGTGGATGGACGGACTCTTTCGGTGAGGCTCTGAATCATCAAGTCTATTTTTGCTGAATCCCGTAGACTTCGTTTACATTTACATGTGTGTTATATTTCTCGATGCATTTGATGACTTGAGTTCTGAAGAATGCTATTGTTGTTGTGATGCAGGAGGTTGATATAGAGAAGATTTTTCAAGCCAAACTTCGACAAACTGAGGTAACTGAAATTTGAATCTCATTTTCTTTTTCTTTTGCTTTCCTTTCAGGGATATGTTCATTTTATGTTGTGTCATTTAATAGAAGAAACCTTGATGAAAACGCCATTGATCCTCCTCTTTTTGGGACTTCCTTGTCATTTTAATGTTGTTTTATAAGTTTTAGTATCAATCTCCATGAACAAAATGAATAGACGGGGGAGATGGAATTGGATGATACTTTTACAGTCCTACTACAGGAGAACCATTTTTTTGTGTGTGCGCCCTCACATGCTTGTGAGTGTGCTTGTGCGTGTGTGCATGTGCGTGTGCATGTGTGTGTTATAGACACACATTTATGTATGTTTATAATATGTACACTACTATAATGACTTCACTTGCTTCATGATCACTTATAAAGTGATATATGAAGCACATGAAGTTATGACTATAGCACTTGTCATTCTAATTGGTTTTTTTTTTTTTTTTTTTCTGGTTCTCCTTTCTATTAAATTCAGGAAACAGAGTTGGCGATTATTGAAGCAAAAGATAGCAAATTGAGATCGGGAAATGTAAGAAAGTTTTTCCACCTTTGTATTTACTGTCATCTTGATTATATCTTTATCAATGCTCTCGGTCAATCCTGATTAGGAAAAGCAGGATATTATGAAACTGAGTTTTATGTTCGAGTATTCATAAAACAGGAAAAGCAGGATATTATGCAATGTAAATGGGTTATTCTCTGGTCCTCGAGATATCTTACTATCAAGGTATTTCAATACCCACTGTGGGGGATAATGATCCTAGATGCTGTGTGAAAAGAGGATCTGGGGGAGCTAGGTTAGGTGATCCAGTAACTTCGTCCAGGTACTTAAACCATTGTTAGGGATGTAAAAATTTTCCTCACCCCAATTGATTACTTACATAGTACCCCATGTTAGCAGATACATCGAATGTGGAATGCGTGTCCTCAATTTCCCCTGCAATAGCCATTTAGCTCCAAGGAACTTCCCTTTCACATTTTCTTGTGAGATTCAAAGAGCTGTTCCACTATGCAATTAAGCATGATACATGACTTCAGAATGTGTATCCAAGGTGGCACTGCCTTTTCTTTTGACAACTAAAAATCACTTTGTGCAACCTCTTCATATCTCCAAGTCTCAATTGTGATTTTGTATTGTACCTTTTCCGTAGGTGTTTCAGTAACATTCCATCAATGTTTGCGTTGAGAAAGCCTATGAATGAAGTTTTCTCTGCAAATATATTGAGATTAGTTTCTCTCTTAAGGGTTTTCAAATGATTGTAAAGGCATTTCTTGAGTAATATAGTTGGAAGTCTCCAGCATGTGCCCTACTTCTAGCTCGTGACATTTTCATGTTGATGAACTATACTTGAGTCCAACTTGCTGTTCGCCACCTAATGGGAGTGTACTACTTTCCTTAATGAAGAATATTTATGTGCTTGTAGATGCTATTTTGTGAGGAATCAATATGTTCGATGAGTTCCCTTTTTTTTGGGTTTATTGTTGGAAATGATTCGAAAAATTCCCTTTTAATCTAGAATTGATTTTTCTGAAACATGGATGAATGGTGATTGAAAACTCGGACCCCGCAAGGTCCCGAGCTGGAGTCTTCCTCCGACCTAACCTAGTGGATGGTCAGATTCGGCTGAGTCTATGGCTAAAATATTCAGGGAAACAGGGACCCAATTTACGGTGTTTATCATCCAGGCCTGGCACGCTGCTTGGCCCGACTGACAAGGGTGAGTTTGAGACTGAGTCATCAGTTTTTAATTGCTGGAAAAGAAAGAATTGGAGATTCACTTCCTTCTTTCGACACCTAGTAACCATTTTATCTTCCTTCTTGTCGACACCTAGTAACCATTTTAGGTGAAATCACAAAGTATAAAAGGAGGAGGGTTGTGTTAGGTGGGCAGCCAGCATAAAACTTTTGCTACATCTATTTCATGAATCCTGAACCAATATATGGCGGAACATGATTCATGTAACTGATCCCAAATAGTTAGGATAAGGCTTAGATGATGATGATAATGATGATATAGGAGGGTCGAAAGGCAATAGAGGTGGTTCCTTAAATTTTCTGGAATCTTCATAGATGAAAGGAGTGTTTAATTAGATCAAGCTCGCAATTGGTTTTCTTGTTCATGATGGGCGAGCCTCTTCAATTCTTGTCATATATGTATTCTTTCTAGGTTAAGAATTATCTGCATAAATAAATCAATTTAAAAATCTTGTTGTTGTTATAGGGTTGTATGATGTGTTAAATGTAGATGATCGCCAATGAAAGGTTACCTTGCCATGAAAAGGAAATGCAAAGATTTCTCTACCATGTGAAATCTGAGCTATTTCTATTATTTTTTAGCAGCAAGCTGTAAATGTTTTGAGGAGGCCATGAAAAGACTTAGCTGAATTCGAAGAACATATTCGAGTCTCCTTGTCCACTTTTGCAGCCTAACTGGACCAATTCAAATGAAATTACTGCTGGAATTAGCAAAACTATTTTTCATTTTCTGTGTCTTTTTGACAAGTTCAACTCTTTTTCATTTTATGAAAAACAAATATGTGATATGAAATTTTGCTTTTGAAGATGGATGGTGCACTGAATACTTTGTTTATGTGTAACAAGATATTGGTTTTGCTGTTCAGATGGACTTTATTTGAGACTTCATTATTTTTTAAGTATTGGTTCATGTTAGTGCTTATTGTCGTAACTGCCATTTAGTATAAGGGAAAAAACGAGGAAAGATTTGTGGTTCTTTTCTTTGGAGTGTGGCCAATATTTTACAATGTACTCCATGGTTGACTTATCTTGCAACAGGCGAGGCTATTCAGTTTATATGTTTGAAAGGTTTTCATGCGATTCATCTTCAAGGGTATTACACATGAATGGTTTTTCTGTTGTTTTTTTTTCTGAGAAAGTGATTAGGTCTTATCTAGAGGTGATGTTAGCTGGGTTAATGTTTGTATGGGCTCTGTAGACAATATCTTCGAATTGATTCTTGCAAATATATCACCGAAATAACTCATAATAGATGTGCTCTAATTATTGGGCTGGTCCTTTTGCAGTCATCAAATGAAAATTCATGGTTAGGTTCACTCATTGCCACGATAATTGGCAATCTCAAAATTTCCATCAGCAATGTTCATATCAGATATGAGGATACCGTTAGGTGTATATCAAACTCTTGTTGTTTTGATTGTGTTGTGGTTGACCTGAGCTTGCTATGTTTTCTGTGATAATTCATTATTTTAGTTGTAGTATGTTTTGAAATCTTTGACAACATTTTTGTACTTTTTCCAGTAATCCTGGGCGTCCATTTTGCTCTGGAATCACCTTGGCAAAGCTTGCTGCTGTCACAATGGATGAGCAGGGAAATGAGACATTTGATACAAGTGGGTTACTGGATAAGCTTCGTAAGGTATGTCGTGGATTTTTGTTACAAAATTGTTTCTAAATGAAATGTTGTGTCTTCTTTTTGTAAAAGTTTGAGGTTCATCTCAGTTGTATGTCCAAAATGGGGAGTTCCTATTTTGTTATTTTATTATTGGCCTCAATTTTGATTCAATGGTATTGCTTTTAGATCCACTCTAGGGAACCATTGAGTGTCGTAGAAAATGCAAGAGCCACATAGAAGTGATGAAGCACTTTCTCAGGTACATTTAGATGGATGAAGTAAAAAAATTGTTTCGGCATGGTGTTATAGAGCAGTTTTTTAAAAAGTGGACCACCCAGAGCCTGGGTGGTCGTCTAGGCAGTCTAGATGGCCTGGGTGCATCGCTCAGGCCTAGGCAGCCAAATTAGGCGGATATCCTTGGGCGCCTAGGCCGTGGGTGCTTGAACCCGCCTAGATTGCCTGGGCGGCCGCCCAGGTCCTGCACCCCGCTCAGGGGCGGAAATGCAGCTTCTTGAGGGTATTTTTGGGTCTTTTTTTTAATACTAAAGGGGAAACTTGTGGGTTATAGGTTCATTTGAAACCTAAATCTCATTAGAGGCTATTTTAAAGAGAGAACCCCAAATTTTTTTTTTCTACTGGGCCGCCTAGGTTCTGGGCGCTCTCCTAGGCCTTGGGTGGCCTGGATCCCCCCCGATCGCTTAGGTGCCACCTAGAGCTTTTTGAAACACTGTTAAAGAGTCATGTATTCCTTTCCTAAAGTGGTTTCTTAGATCTGTAGATGTATACACATTGTGGTAGGGCATGGATTAGTAGCTGAAACCTACAAAAGAAATGATTTGGGCTTGCCCATGACTAAACCTTATGAAGGGGGGATACTTGTTCAATCTTTCAGTTCAATTTGTTTTTCTTTGACAAAGTTACATAGGAATTAAACTTGAGATGTACTGCTATGAAAACCCAACTACTACCACCTTGACCCAAGCCTGATTCCTTTTAGTTCAATTTATTTATGTTATAGGAAGATAAGTGTGGTATTTGAGTATGTATGAATTTTAAAATGTTCTGCTCAAACTCGGCACTTAACCCTTGCCTGAGAGTAACTCGGGTGAGTCCGAGTGGTCTCGCTTGAGTTCTGCAGAACCCAAAATGGGCTAAAAAATTGCTAGAAAAGAAAAAAGAATTTGTTAGATTTAATTAGAAACTAAAGGAAGTTATAAACATCATTAAAAGTTCATAAAAGTTGGAAAACCGTTTTATAGAGAATGGAGTATGAAAAATTAAAGCAAAAAAAAAAAAAAAAGAACCCAAGCAAAGGGAAAAGTAGAAAATTAGAGCATGTAATAAGAAAAATTTCGAAATCATCATAATGAACATAAAAATTATATAGAAAAATATTTATATGCCATTTTTAAATGATTTAGTAATAAAATTTTTTATGTTTTAGGTGATTTTAACAAACCTTTAGTTTTTCTTAAAAACTTGTTGAGTTACGTGGCTGAGTCTGAGTCAATTCGGACTAATTTTGGAACACTAGCCATAGATGTTTATAATATTTATATATCATGAATTTAAAACCCTTGTTGTAGTACACAATGTTCCTCAGCAGGCGATTTCCCTTTAAATAGTTTGGAAAATTGATTGCATGCGACTTACCAATGGCATTATATAAAGAAGAGCTGTAAGGTGATATAGAATTTTGCCTTGTTGTCAGTCTTTAATTTCTGTGACCTTCCTTTGTTGTTACTATTGCCCTTGTTTGTGGTGATTATTCATACTGTTGTAGCACACCATTGTGCGGCTTTCTCATTTGGTTCCTGTTTACTTGTCTATGACAAGGTAGGCCTGTGACAACCTTGCTGCTTGTCAGTCTTTAATTTCTGTGACCTTCCTTTGTTGTTACTATTGCACTTGTTTGTGGTGATTATTCATACTGTTGGAGCACAACATTGTGCAGCTTTCTTATTTGGTTCCTGTTTACTTGTCTATGACAAGGTAGCCCTGTGACAACCTTGCTACTACTTTTGTTGTTTTCTTTTGGCTAAGGCTTTGGGGCTTCTGTCTCAACTTAATCTCTTGGTCATATGTAGGGTCATTGGTTGGGTTTGTGGCGTTTAAAGGCTGTGAGAGTGTGTGAAAGACATTTGTAGTGGATTGTACACTTGAATGGGAGTGTGCATTGTTTGACTGACGAAGGGTTGGGAGATTTATGACCCTGGTCATATCCAAAATCTTCCTTGGGCATGTGGTGCTATCGAAAAGGGTTTACAATGGGTCATCCCTTGTTGAGGTCGAAGAGATGCCCAGAGATAGCTTGTAGGCCAAGAGAGCTGTGGTCTCCTGTTTGTGGATGTAGGCTTCTGAGAGCAAGGGGTAAATCCTCAACAAAGTTTTGTACGACATGTACATATGACAGCCACATTACCGAGAAGCAAACCTGAAGAGGTATACGTGTACATGTGTATAGAGAGAGTTCCCCTCCCACTATAGTGATATGTGCTTAGCTTACTCTTAAGAGAGGGGGGAGGCTGTAATCCACATTCTAGTACTGTGGTTCCACTGTTTATTGGCCAACTTTGACGAGCCAATCATGAGCCCCTGCATGAAACTGTGGGCCGTGATTTTGTTGAGTTGGTTTAAGAAGGCATTTGTAGGTCATGGTCATTGGGTGTACATGTGTATAGAGAGAGTTCCCATCCCTGATATGTGCTTGGCTTACTCTTAAGGGGGGGGGGGGCTGTAATCCTCATTCTGGTACTGTGGTTCCACTGTTTATTGGCCAACTTTGTCGAGCCAATCATGAGCCCCTGCATGAAACTGTGGGTCGTGATTTTGGTGGGTTGGTTTAAGAAAGCAATTGTAGGTCGTGGTCATTGTGTTGGGTCGCCCTTATGGTCTCTTCGTTTTAACCCATTGGTACCAGTCCACTACGCGATATCTTATTTTCAATATTACAAATGTTTCTATGAATTTTAGAATTTGTTTAGAATTTTATTTTATTTTTTATGTTGTAATTTCCTTGAAAGGATTATTATGAAATTATATAAGGAAATGTGGGGCCTTTAGATCCAGCCTCAAATGTGTGCTATACCCCATGGGTGGGGTGTAGGGCCCATAGCGGCTACATGTCACCCATAGGGGTGGCATGCCCCCTTTAATTTTTTAGTGCTCGTTTTAATTAAAATGGCTTAGTATGGTTAGTTGATAGTATTTTAAAAAGAAAAGAAATGGTTATGTGTGCCAATTTTTGTCCGATTTAGTTTTAACCAAGAAATATTATTTTGATTTCCTACAATTAGAGATAAATTAGGAAGTTCTAGTAGGTTTTTAAATTGGTTTAGTCCTAATTAAACGAGAAGTGGATATGGGTCAAATATTAAGGGGTAAAATTCCTATTATGCCTCCCAAAATTATGATAGCTGATTTGTGGGATGGATGACTCTGATTTATTTGAAAGTGGACGATGTGAACTAGCACGGTCTTTATATATTACAATTTTTCTTTTTCAAAACCGGCTAGAACACTTATATAAGTCCAATGATTACAATAAAAACTCAAGCAAACAAATAAAAAAAAGTCCACAAATATGGATTCTCACGTGCTGCCACTATTAAACTCTTCATTAGATAATAAAAAATTGCATCAGCTTGAGTTTGGGAACAAGAAACATAAGAATGCATTAAAATAAATAAGATGCCAACAGATTACCTCAATTGGACTTCGCACACCCCACATCGGGTCTCCTCCACCGATGGCGCACAGGAACTTGGGAAGCATTGGCTAAAACCCTTTTATGGATATGAGAGCATGTGGATCAAAATATGGCTTTACTCTTGTTTCTTTATGTGTGGGGCGTGCCCCTTCTCTGTCTCTTCCAAAGGCTAGGGGTGTGCCCCTTTGTTACTCTTAGAGAGGCTATGAGAGATGGACACAAAAAGATAGAGAGAGATGAGAGAGAGGGCGGTGTGCCACCTTGATGAGAGAGAGAATTTTAGGTTGTGGTGGTGTGATGACCCCCCCTCCCTCAACCCCTAATGAAGGCTAGGGTCAAGGTTTCTAGGGTTTAGCCATCCTTATGGAGATTCCATTTAGACCATTGATCATAGGTGACCTATGGGATGAGAGATCTTAGCCATATAATCCATAAATCAGTCATCATGATCTAATGAAAGGGGCTAGAACCTTATCCCTCAGCTTCCTTAACCTAATCCCATCAAATATTTAGTGTAGAAAAAATACATTGTAGTTTCCTTTTATTTTCAATCAATCTCTAGACATGCTTCTTTTAAAATCCATTAGCCTTCAAAACTCTCCTTATCGTCTTATGTCAATTGCATGAATTATGAGACAAGCCAAAAATAAATAGAAACGGAGAAAAGTGGGGCATGCCACTCCATGGGTATAGGGGGCCCCATGACCTCATCAAATTTGGTGGGCCATACAATGTAATTGGCCCCCATCATATTTAAATATAAAAATGATTTTTAGAAAAGGATAAATAATTTATTTTCTTATCTGAATATTTAAATACCAGAAACTTTAGTTTTAGCTTATCTTAAAATCAATTTTGATGAAATAAAATATCCAGAGACTCCTAAAACTTTATTTTAATATTCAAAAAATCATTTATAATAATATTAATTATTTCTAAATTAATTTGATGGCAATCAGATTTAACTTTGTTAAGGAAAAAAAGAAAAATTACTGAGACACTCCGTGTCTAATATGGCTATGTCCCCACTCACTTTCTCAATCTGACCCAGTAGTTCCCTTGACCCACAGTCTATACTGGGGTTCATGATTGGACTACCAAAGCTAGCCTATAGGTGATGAAAACACAATCTTAGTCTATGAATTATAGGTTCCATCCTAGGGACAAGCCTAGGTCACACTACCTTGTGCACACACATCACATTTGTGCATAGGGGCTATCTCTCGCACATCTATATGCAACACCCTCAATGTTGTTTACTTCCCAATACGGCTATGTACATGTTGTGTGATGGTCATGATGGTGATTTGACCCATGTCCCTTCAGGCCTACCAATCACACAAGGGTCACAGAGTTCCTTGGCCAATTACCCTAGGCATCTTTCCGACCTCATCAAGGGATAACCCTGGTAATCCTTCTCGGTTGTGCTATATGGCTAGGTATCATAGGGTTTTAGAACTCAATTCGGCCTAGCTCGCCAAGCCTAGTTTGAGTTTTGACATCAGTAGTGCCAACTTCGGTTCCTTTGAAGGATACTTCTATTGGAGTTCATTGTTTCACACTCATAAAATTCATTATATGCTCTCGTAAGGCCTTTAAAATGGCCACAAAAGCGCAACATTATTGTCTCTCACCTCACAAATTTCCTAATTTCCTATTGGTTAAGGTGAGTCATTGGATAGGCATACCAAGGGGGTCTTGAGTTTTATAGAAGGTGTACCCCCTCTTTACACAATTTTGGAGCCTCTATCTCCTAGTTTTCTCTCTCCATCCCAAATTCTCTTCTTTTTCTCATCTCTATAGTGCCTTTCTCTCCTCTCACCCTAATTAGGGTTTTGTAGAGAGGACTGGTTTAACCCTAGAAAAAGGGAGGTTCCTTTTAAAGGCATGCCCGAATTGCGTTTTGTATGCTCGCTAAAAGGCTATTTTAAGAGGTATTGCCTAATGAAGCTTCCCAGCTCTGAAAATTCAGCAAGACCAATAGGATTTAAGTGTGCCATCAATTAGAAAATTGGGTGTGGGTTGTACCAAGTCCTGTAGAGGTGATGCTAGGCATAATCGATTAAGTCTTCCGGGCTATTTATTTTTGTTTCTCAGTATTTCCATATTCATTCAGGAACATTATTTGTACTTGAATTGATAGAAGAAGCTTGGTTTTTATTTCTGAATTGAATTTGTTTTTTTGGCAGTAAAAGTAAAGGTCTTAGGTTTTATTTAAAGTTTTAATTTTCTTTTACAGCAGTGCATTGTTGCACTTGTAAGTGGAATTCAGATTCAATCAGAATGGGATTGGATTGAATGAACCTATCACTATGCAATGCAATTACTTGATTAGGTTTCTAGCCTAATTCGTCAACCAGTTAGAAACTTATTTGCCATTATTGTCATTATGTCATTGACTTGTCTAGATCTATTATATTTTTTTCTGATAGTCATGTTGAATTGATCTATGTAGCTTACAATAATTTTCTAGTACTTGCTGTCGGTGTTGATACAGCCTTGACATGGTCATGCCTTTTAACACTAGAAATTTCTTTATCCAACTTCTCCTTCTGAATTAAATGTTATTTCCATTTTTTTCTTTTTTTTTTAGAAGTTATTAGATGTAATAATAAATTTTATTTTCATCTTTTCATTACTGAAATAGATTAATATTATTTATATATACTTTCTTATCTAGTACTGATGGTGTGAGACCTTTTATGTTGAATGTGCATTATGTAAGATGATTTATAAGTTTATCTTATTTTTATTTTTTTTAGATTGATGTTGGAATTCAATTCGAAGTGTTAGATCTTGATGGTTAATATTTTAGTTACTACTGGATATTCTAAACCTGCAAATGGTTGCTTTGACCATGTCATTTAACATTATTGATTTTCTTTCTTCCATAGTTATTTAACTCTACTCAGTTAACAATTTAAAAAAAAAAGAAAAAGTTATTTAACTCTACCAATTGTTCTTGTTAGCGATAGCTAGCTTTCATGTTTCTGCTGTTCTTGATGTTATAATTGAATGAATAATTAATACTGATCATATCTAAGTAGTACTGATTAATGATAAAAATAATTACCTGTGGTACGGAACTTTATGTTGTATTTCCCTTTCTTAGAGGCTTTTAAGTTATGTCCAGTTTCTGTTCTCTTAGTCGAGATTGATGTTCTTACTGATAATGCTGGAGCTTCTCCCATGCTGAATTTTCATTTTCTATTTCCTGCCTCATACTTGATAGGATGTTAGTTTGTGTATCTGAAGCCTTGGTATTTTGGTCATTGACTTAGTCCTTGCAACTCGAAAGACTCGCTGTTTATCATGATTCTGATTGTACACCTTGGAAGCTGGATAGAAATTGGGAAGATCTTAGTCCAAAGGAATGGATTGAGGTTTGTTTTTAATATTTTGCCCAATGTATTTGGATTTTCTCTACATTGGTTAAAGAAATCATTCTTCTAGGTTAATGATTTATACAAATGAAACTTTTCTAAAGCTTGGACTGAGTTTATTTTGCATTTAGATTTTTGAAGATGGAATCAACAATCTAGAAGTTTCTAAATGGGCTGCAAATCGCATATACATGGTATCTCCAATTAATGGGGTGCTTCAGTATCATCGCCTGGGAAAGCAAGAAAGGAAAGACCCAAATATTCCCTTAGAGAAGGCCTCTCTTGTGTTGAGTGATGTCTCATTAACTGTTACTGAGGTACCTTCTCGACTTTTGTATTTCTTTTGTGGTGGCTTTTCACTTCATATCCTGTAAAGTTGACTTACTGCTTTATGAGCCATTTTGTTTCTGGTTGTTTTTTTCGTTCATTTTGTCAATTCCTCCATTGTCTCCCCCTGCAGGACCAATATTGTGATTTTATAAAACTTCTAGAAATTTTTTCGAGGTATAAGACATATGTGGAGGTTTCCCACTTAAGGCCTGGAGTTCCTGTTTCGAAGGATCCACATGCTTGGTGGCGCTATGCAGCACAGGCTGGTCTGCAACTGAAAAAGATGTGGTAATGTTCAAATAATTTTTTAAGGTCAAGCAAAAAAGCTTCGATCTAAAATTGTTATACTTTGATCTGAAACATAACATGCGTATTATCTGTCTGACCTTGAATGATCACTACACATTGGTTGCATGGAAAATTTGTTCCATTGTCTTTCAAAAGCTATAACATCATTATAGTGCTAGGCATATTATTTTGTTGGATGTTAGAAATGTTTTTGGGATCATGTTCTAAAGAAATGTGAATGGCATGGGTTCCTGTGCATTGGCTACATTTGTGTGATATGTTTGAAATGTGAAAGTTGTGTTTGAAATGTTAGCTTTCCTTATCTGTTGGTTTAGTGCTAAAATGGTTGACTCATGGCCTTTTTATGACTCGAGGCTGCAGAGCTTCCGATGGATTGGTTGTAGTCGCCTATATGGGTCACAGCCTTCTTACACTATTGTTGATTAAATTATTTACAATGAGATATCTAAGATGTCTTACTTTTAAGCGTAAGAAATCCTAGGCAATAGCTTTAAGTAAGGGCAATAGTTTTTGCACCAATTCCTTGGCAACCGCTACCAACCATTGTACACTGACCTGTCCTGTGCTACTACTATTCTCTTAAAGGGAATGTTTTCATCATTCATGAGTGTGAATGAATACTAAGGAGGTGGTTGTAAAAATTAGTCTTTATAATCTAATTAGGTAAAATGATTTATGCTGTTTGGTTAATGTATAATTTACAGCTGGCCATTGTTAATATGACAGCTGGACATTATGTAAAACTAGTAAGCAGCCCGTGTGTTGGAACCTTAAACGATAGCATCTAATGGAATAATTTATGAAGTAAAATCCAATAAATTGATATATATATATATGTTATATTAAGAAAGTAATGTTGGTTATCAAGTTCAGATTTTGATACTACCTTACATTGTGTTTGGGAAATCCTGCATTGTGTTGCATTTGATACTGTTCCGAGGCAACTTGTGGCTTTTGTGGCAGTTTTTCTACCTTACATGGTGTTGCATTCTTATTGTCGCTAAACAATTTTTATTTTTTATTTTATTATATTTTAAATTGTTTAGCGACAATGACAATGCACATGGTAAACCTAAATCTGTCATGACATGGAAACAAACACGTATCAGATTTCTGCTTGTTATTGAGTTATTCATAAAATAGCAAGGAAAGAATTGTTCAAGAAAAAGCTGAACTTGATAACTACAAGTTGCCCTGTAACAGTATTAAATGCAACACAATGCAGGATTTCCCAAACACAATATAAGGCAGTATCAAAATCTGAACTTGATAACCAACATGATCCAAGCTACTTGGTGGCCCACTAACCCTGATCAAGGCATGCACACAAGAAATTGTTTTAACATAGTAAGATTGGAAAGGAATTCATGTTCTATAAACCCTGCTTGAAAAACTAAAAGCCATCTATGAAACCAGCTAGGCTCGCTACATGTGGACAATAAAATCATCCCCAAAACAAAGCTTTACAAGCATGATGTCTATCCACCTTTTTTCAAAATGTAGTTTATAAATAGCCATCTATGAAACCAGCTAGACTCACTACATATGGACAATAAAATCATCCCCAAAACAAAGCTTTACGAGCATTATGTCTATCCACCTTTTTTCAAAATGTAGCATAAATATATATATTAAGCGAGATGGTGACCCCTTTTATTCTTGTGATGAGTGTCCTTTCAATGCCACTTTTGCCCTCTTGCTTTTATATTATACTGATTTTGTTTATTTTTGTTATCAGTTTTGCTCACTCTATCGTGATTCTCTTTCACTTGAATCTCTCTTTATCTCTATTGTCTTCCATGTAGATTTCCTTCCCTTTTCCTTTTCTACAATTTTGTCTTCTTGAATTTTGATTTTATTTCAATTAGTCCTTTTTGTCCATGTAGATTTCTCTTCCTATTCCTATGGGATTTTCCCTCTCTCCTAGCAATGAGTCTGTGTGTGTGTGTGTATGTGTGTGTGTGTGTGTATGTGTGTGTGTGTGTGTATGTGTGTGTGTGTGTGTGTCTATGCCCCCCACACCACCCCCCTTTCCCCCACACATACACACACACCCACACATCTCACCTAAACCTATCTTATCACGACCTATTGAGGAATTCATTGACATTAAAAAGATAGAAACTTGTATCATCAATTCATTCATGTATTGATTCAGCCAATATGTCCTTCCAAGGCCATGTAAGGCTTGCCTCTTACATTTTTTATTTTCATGCATAAGTTTACTAGGAATAATCTATGAATTTGCTTTTAATGATGACTATTTTATTTCTTCATACTTCCGTTAAACAATTTTTATGTAGTTTTTCTTGAATGCATGCTAAGCAATGAGTGAGAGTGGATGTGCTATATAACAATTTATCATCTTCATCATCATCAGAGCTTTTTCTTTTTAAGCATTTAAATTGAATTCTAGCATACCGAGTGCTTCATTTCTAACATTCCATTGCCATCCCATCTCATTTTGATGTCAATGCTATCATGTTATTGCGGATTACAGCTACCGGTTTTCTTGGGATAGAGTTCGTCATTTTTGTCAACTCCGTCGATGTTATATTCAACTTTATGCAAGTTCACTACAACAGGCAGATGGTACTGTTAGCACACAATTGAGACAAATAGAGAGGGACCTTGACTCCAAAGTTATCCTTCTTTGGAGGTTTGCAGAGATTCTGTCCTTGTGTCATGATTTTCTATGCTTGACCACTGCTTTTCCTGTTTTAGGATTATCACTTTCCAATGTGATATTTGGAACCTTATTTTTCCAGATTACTTGCACATGCTAAGGTTGAGAGTGTGAAATCCAAGGAAGCAGCTCAAAGTAGGCGTCAGATGAAAAGAAGCTGGTGGCCTTTTGGGTGGTATGACAAAGCTGCTTCCCAGGAATTTTTTCTTCTGACTAGTCTCTGCAGTTGCTAATTTGTTACCATTCACAAGCATTATATTTCACAATCTTTGTTAGCCAAGCAATGATTGGGAAGTCTAGATTGCTTATCTGCAAATACTTGTGCAGGCGCTCTTCTTCTGGAGATACACCGATTGTGGAATATTCTAAAGAATCACATTTACTAGAAGACAGGCTAACTAAAGAAGAATGGCTCGCAATTAATAAAATTTTAAGTTACCAATCAGATGAAGAGATGAATTTTCCTTTTGGAAAGGACTCACAGAATACAATACATTTTCTTGTAAATATTTCAATTGGGCAGGCTGCAGCTCGGATAATTAATATCAGACAAACGGAAATTATCTGTGGTAGGTTTGAACATCTTCAAATCTGCACCAAGTTTTGTCCTAAAAGCATCCAGTGTAATATAAAGTTGAGATTCTATGGATTATCATCTCCGGAAGGCTCAATTGTGCAGGTTGGTTTTTCCTTTGTATTTAACTTTCCGTAGTTAGATGCATGCTGGTGATATCAGGCATTGAAGTTAACACTGTGAGCTCTATGTTACAGAGTGTAATCAATGAGAAAAAGGCTGATGCTTTATCTGCAACTTTTGTACACTCACCTCATGGAGAAAATGTAGATTGGCAGCTCTCAGCGACTATTGCTCCATGCCATGTCACGGTGCTCATTTGTTTTTTGTTTGTTTGAGCTTTTGGAGCCTAGCATCAATTCCTAATAACTATATTGAAGAATGGATTTATGCTATATTGAAACTGCTTATAACTGAAGATCAATGTTTGTTCAAGGTTGTGGTGACTTGTAGTTCACGAAACTGAAGTTTTTTTTCCTTGAATTTAATGTTGTCAATTCCATCTGACTTATGTAGTTATATGCTGTTCTCTGCTCCCATGTAATGACAATAAATCAATCATCTTTATCAATGTTAGAGAAGTCACTAGGCGGTGCCTAGGCAGATGCAAGGGTAGCTGTGTAGAAATGAAGACAGAGAGAGTGCATTGTTCTTATTTGTTCTACTAATTTTAAATTGCTACTTGTATTTTCAATAAATTAATTGTTTTGTAATTACTTTAGTTATATTTGTCTTGTAATAACTTGTATCATATTGTGTTATATTATTAACTTTTGTTTTATGGTATCGATAGTCAACAATAGTTAATGTATTTGTATTATAGTATCATTAGTATATTAGTTTTAAAGAGACATGATTGACCCATTTATTAATGGCGTGACATTGACAACATTTATTTATATATTTGTTCTATAGTATTAATAATATTCTATTTTTTTAAGAAACATCATTGGCACATGTTGACATTGATGCATCTATCAATAATATATTGATTTATTTGTACTAGGGTGCTATGACTATATGTAATATTATAAAGTAGTACCATATAATAATACTTTGGAGGTCAAAAATGACCGCCTAGATTCTCCCCATAGTCTTAAAACAAAGAAAATAGGGGCAAAATGACTGAAAACGACCTTAGGCGTGGGGCATTTTTGCCCCATTCACCGTCATTTGTCATGGGCTGCCTAGGTGGGCGCCTGAGTGCCTAAGCGCCCACCTTGTGGACAACCCCTCCTCCTGCCCGAGTAGCCGCCTAGGCGGACCTTCTAGGCACTCGATTAAGCACCTTTTTCAACAGGGATTTTTATGTGTACATACTCTCTGCAGGCTAGTGTCTTCCATTTGTTGATACTTCTCTGTTGATCCTATCTTTCCTTAGCATGCACGAAGTAGTTTGCATAATTGTAATCATTTGTTTTAATTTTCTACAGAGAACAATGGATAAAGGGATATATTGTTTTTTATAAATAACTTTTAGAAAAGGCATAAATGAAGTTGCATCTGGCCTGCAACTAAGGGGCGAATTCTAAATGGAGAAGGTTGTGGGTGGGCAACAGCATCCTAATTGAAAAGAAGGTTTCTGCCTTTTTCTTCTCAGCAAGGGAATCAATCATGTCATTATCTTTAAGCACACTGAAGTAATAGAGGTTGGAACTCCCTTCACATTTCTGCTCAATAATATTGCTAGTATCCATGGCTACTTTGCTGCTTTCTGTGAGCATCTACATTTGTGAGACCTAATAAGAAACAAAATAAAACCTTTAGTCCTGTTGACAGGGTTTGTACATCCATATTACTTACTGCCAGTGCTGCAAAGGTCTTTGAATGCAAAGGTCTTTGAATGCCATAAGTTTGTCACACAGGTATCTCGAACAACTGCAAATATAAATGGGTTAAGATTCTCAAAGAAATTTTCATCAAAATTAGGATTAGGGTCTTTGACCATTTGGATACAAAGCCCTTGGTCTAAATGTTGGAGTCTTCCAGCTCAGACCCTTAACCAAATCCCTTTACTGAATTCAGCTATTGTAATGGAGTACGATATCTGTGATAGACACCTTTGTTGGAAGTACCACAAGGTGTTTCTGTGATTTCATTAGAATTACATATGTTTTCTTGATTTGTCCTACATCTGTGGGAAGTGTTGCAGGCAACACTGCTTTGGAAGTGATAGACCTTCAGTTAGAAATTTCTAGAAATGTTTTCATATATAATATCTACATTTTTCAGTTGCTGTGTCAGACACTCAGGGACTTATTGAATGTGGATACTCATGGTAGTTACGATCATCTCATATATGAATAAACAAGTTCAAGTTTCTTCTTCATGTTTCTCCCTATGCTTGGACATACATCCTTGTGTTAATGACCTGGAGATTCTAGTTTGTGACACTTCTCATTTCAATGACTCTTTCTTCTTGCATGCTGATTGAGCATTCTCGTGTCACCCGACTCTCAGCACCTTGCTTGTGGCTTTCCTTGTTCCTCATACTTTCAGTTGTATTTCCTCACTCTCACTCGCCATTAGCTCTTCCGTTAGGAGGGAATATCTGCCTCCTCCAAACTACTTATGCTTCAGGAGCTCCTAGAACTTGAACATGGCTCATAATCTAGTGTTCCAGCTATCAAATACAATGCCATGCATTGCCAATAAGCATTCCTTATTCCTTGCATCCAACAAGTGAAGTTCTTGAAGTATACCATTTGTCCTAGCTTCTACGGATACTTCATTTGGATCTGGTTCTCTTTCAACTGGTCTGCCTGTAGATTGATATCTTAATATTCCCTCTTCCTCCTTTTTCTGTTTTGTTCTTTCATCATTCTTTCATGGCTTCACTTTTGTTGTGAAAGGCCAAAAAACTGTATGCACTTTCGATTGCCTGAGTTTGATAGTAAAGTAGACACATCTGTAATGGAACAATGAACTCCAGTGGGAGTATGGTCCAGAGGGATCAAGGTTGGCAGTATTGATGCCGAGACTCAAACTAGGCTTGTCGAGCTAGGCTAGTTGAGTATTAAAACCCTAAGATACCAGGGCATTGAGCACAACCGAGAAGGGCTAGCAGGGTTACCCCTTGATGAGGTCGGAGATGCCCTGGGTAGTTTGCCAAGGGACTGTGTAACCTTTGTGTGTGATTGGTAGGCTTTAAGGGACGAGGGCTAAATCATCATCATAGAGTATCATACGGCATGTAAAATGATAGCCACATCGGGAAGCAAAGCACCATTGAGGGTGTTGTGTGTACATGTGCAAGAGATAGCCCATATGCACCAAATTGCGACGTGTGCAAAAGTTTGTGTGACCTAGACTTGTCCATAGGGGGCAGAACCTGTAATCCATAGGCTAAGGATTGTGTACTGTTCCCTCACCTATTGGCTGACTTTGATAGCCCAATCAGGAATCCCTGTGGTTCATGGTCTCTAGTAGAAGGTGGAGTGCCTCAATATTTTCGCGTTTTCCTTAACGAAGTTAATCCTATCAAATTAATTTAAAAATAATTAATTGGAGTATAAATGATTTTTAGATTGATAAGGCAAATTTTTAGAATTTTCTTTTATCAGTTTTTAGAAGTCTCTAGATATTTTATTCTCTCAAAGCTGATTTATAAATAGGCTCAAACTGAATTTTCAGAATTTAAATGTTCGGAGAGAAAAATAAAATAGTAAATGTTCTCTAAAAATCATTCATTAATTTTAAAATTATTAATACACTTGGGGGCCCATTATACTCCATTGGCCCCACCAAATTTGAGCATGTGGGGAAGTGCGTGGGGCCCACTTGAGGCCCCATGGGTGGAACGCCCCACTTTGTGCACCTCCTTCCTATTTTGTTAAGGCATGCAATATGCCACTCAATTGGTTGAAATGAAGAAGGGAAGTTTTTGAAATGAAAAAAGGGGCACGCCCCAACCATTGAGCCTAGAGGAGCACGCTACACCCACATAGTTTTTAGACTTAGTTTTTGTTCCACATTGCTCTCATCATTGAAGGGTTTCTAGCCAAGGATTTCCATAGTTGTGAGTTCTAAGAAAGACCTTGATTCTGTGCGCCATAGGAGGAGATCCTAGTGGGGTGTACCAAGTCCAATTAAGAAATTGTATTGATAGGTCTACAATCTTATTTCCCTGTGTGCTGAGTTGTATTCTAGAATACTCACTTTTTAAAGATCTCCAGGTGTTTTGCTTGTACACATGTCCATGGGTATGCTATGTTGTGGCAAATCTATCTTATGATATCGCGAATCATTTCCAAAGGCGCTGAGAAAATATTATAAAGCTGGTCCAGAATGTGCTCTCATCTGTCATTCTAGAATCACTTTGTAAGCTATCTTAGGAAGGTCAAATGAACTCGCTGTTTTAAATGTTCTACCTACATGTAAGGAACATATCGGAGTCCCATCAAAAACTTAGTTTGAGGGCTCTTACAACGAGTGGGGTCATATTTAACAACAAGCTTGGGTGATTAGGCCCTGTGTCCTTGTGGGGATTGTGGCCCTTAAAGGTCATGAGAGCATGTAAGTAGAGGATTATAGCGGATTGCACACTTTAGTGTGAGTGCGAGTATTGGTTGACTAACCTAGGGTTTGGTGGTCTATAGCCCTAGTCATGCACAAAACACTTACCCATGGTCATATGGCACTATTGATAAGGGTTTCTAGAAGGTCATCTCATATTGAGGTCATAAAGATACCCAAAGGATGGTTTATAGGCCAGAAGAGCTTCTTGGTCTCCTGCATGTGGATGTAGGCCTGTGAGAGAGAGGGCTAAATCCTAAACAAACATTCGCATTGCATGTACACATGACGAACACATTATTATGAACCAAACCTGCAAGGCTACGTGTACATGTGTATAGAGAGAGTCCCCCTTGCACTTTACTACTATATGCGTTTAACTTGGTCTTCATGGGGGACGTGTAGTCCACATTCTAGGACCGTGGCTCCACTATTTATTGGCCACCTTTGATGAGACAATCATGAGCCCTTGCATGAGATTGTGGATAAAGAGTCTTATTGGGTTGGTTTGAGAAGATAGTCAAGGATTACAATAACTTTTCTTGAGCCATTGGTGCCAGTCCTCTTCTAGATATTTGTTTTTGTTTTAAGTGTACCAAATGTTTATGTGAAATGTAGGAAAAATTTCAGAATTTTTAAATTTATTCAGCTGTAGAAACCCTTAAAAAGGGGGTTTCTAAATTTTTGGGATTGTGGAGGGGGTTTCTGAATTTTTTGGATTGTGGAGGGGCTAGTAGGAACATGTGTGGGGGCCTTGGATCTAGCCCCACATGTGCACGACACCCATCTGTGTGGG